TCTGGTGTATCTGAGATTATTCCTGAACAAAATTCCTTACTAAGCAGACACTGCACGCACAGAACGTTGCATTCCTCCTTTATCCAGCACAGATTAATAACTTCTGAGTCAGATTTAGGCCTGGCTTCTGGGAACGAGGAAACAAAGATCTTGTGGTGACTCGTTTTGCACAAACTGGTTGTTTTCAGAGTAGTGGTTTTTACCACGGGGTGAAATGAAAACAGCTGCCAAGTGCAATTTGCTTCAAAACCTCGGCCCCTGGTCACAGCCCGGGCACGTCCGAGGCTCTGCAGAGCCCTGATCTTTGCTGCCCCTGAGCTGTTTTTGTTCCTGAGCATTTAACACCGAATTCTCACCCTCACAAGGTGGCAAAGAGCAGCTCAGCCCAGCAGGCTCCTCACTCTCTACAGCTGGAAGACAAAGCAGCCGTGTGTCTGCAGCAGAGGATTCCGCACCGCCCGTGCCACGAGGCTCCCAAATATCCTGGAGTGCTTCCCACACTCTGGGGATATCAGGACAATGTTCAGGGCAGATGATGAGCAAGTCCTAAACAGCTTAGGTCTGGTTTTACCCATCAAAATGGAGGGAATCAGCCTCTGAGGGCAGGATTCTGCTCACCCACCAGCAGGTGTGATGTAGACACTGCAGCTCCTCCAGCTGCCCCAGTCTTCTGGTTTTATTCAGCAGAACGGGGCACTTTAGGTCACTGTTCACCTGACCCAGTTTAGACCTGGCAGTGCCCAGAGAGTGCATCAGAGCTGACACAATTGGAGCCTCAGGCTGTGCCAGCACTGAGTGACTCAGGTTTAGCAGCTGAAGCCCACCCTGGGGTCTGGGTGTAGTGTGCTGCACTCATGCTACAAACTAAAATAAAAATAAAATAAATTTCCGAAAAGAAAATAAACTTCTGAAAATCAAGGGGCTGTTTCCCTTCCAAGCCCTCGCACCAGCCTGTGATCCAGGGGCTGATGGGCAGCTCACCTGCCAGTGACTAATTTTAGAGTGTCCTCGTTGCCTTCCCTCTGTCTGATCCCTCAGTATTCAGTAGGGAAATTAAAGGGGATTAAAATAACGAGGCTATTTCGTATCCTTCTCCAGATGAACCCAGCCTGAACCAGACCTCATGGAATTTTCTAGTAACTCCCTTAAAATGGGTGTGCTCAATTCAAGTTCAGAAGAGTAGATAAAAGGTGGAGACTCTTCATCTAAGTGAGAAAGGGCCTTTGGTTACTGCAAGCTTCTGCTATCTGCCCCAGGGGCCAGATTTCTTTCAGATTAAAAAGTAAATAAATAAAGCAACATTCTGAGCTTCACTGTCTCACACCAGCAGTGCAAGTTTCACTGGGGTTCCTTTGAAGAGAAACCACATACCTGAATTCAGGTCAGGTCACCCTGAGAGCATTTAAGCTCCAGAAGGAGGATGACTCCAGTGTCCTTTCCCTGCTGCAGTGCGGGGTCACTGGTGTTATTTCCACTGCTGTTTGCAGCTAAAGGGAGCAGCCCCCTCCTGAGCTCCTCTCATCTCTCAAGTGAAAAACAAAAGAAGAGAGAAAAATCATCTGCTTCTTCAAAGCATCCTCTGCTCCAGGTGTGTTTGCCCTGTGCTCTTCACCCAACCAAAGGCAAAACCAAGCGGCTCCAGCAAACCCAAGAGGAACCTGGTTGAGATTTAAGAGCTGTGTGGATGTGGGACTTGGGGACAGGGGTTAGTGGTGGGCTTGGCAGTGCTGGGGAAACGGTTGGACTCGAGGAGCTTGAAGGTCTTTTTCCAACCCAAATGATTCTGTGATTCTACAATTAACGAAATCTCATCTCTCCCAGTGGGATCTCAGCGTGGGCGAGCGCGGAGGGCGCCGGCTCCGAGCCCAGGGAGGGGAGTGCTGGGTGTGGGGAAGCCCCAAAGCAGAGAGAGGTGAGAGAACAGCACCCTGAGGGCCCGTGGTGTGAGCAGGGGAAGCCTGGTGTGCAGGAATGGCAGTGCCCTGATGGATGCCCCGTGCCCTGGGCCAGGAGGGTGCTGCGGCCTCGCTGCTCCAGGAGAGATGCTCCGTGAGCTGTGGGATGGAGCAGGCTCTGCTGGACTGCAGCCCCACCTCCCAGTCCTTGGTGAGAAGTTTCTTTAAGAAAAAATTGTTCTCTGTGAGGGTGGGGAGGCCCTGGCACAGGTTGCTCAGAGAAGTTGTGGTTGCCCCATCCCTGGAAGTGTCCAAGGCCAGGTTGGACGGGGCTTGGAGCAACCTGGGATAGGGGGTGGAACTGGATGAGCTTTAAGGTCCCTCTGACCCCAAACCATTCTAGGATTTTATGAAACAGAAACTCCAGTGCTTTCCCAAGGACCCTGCTCCACCTGACCCCTTCATTGAACTCAGGAGTCACAGACAAATAAATGTTGCCCATTCTCCTTCACCTTCTCCCTCCAGCCGACTCTTCCAAACATAGCCATCATATCCAAAAAACACAAGGAATCAATACAACATCCCCCTTACCTGGGCAGCCTTGGAGTCTCCCCTGCTGGAGGCAGGTTAAGTGTCATTTCAGCTTTGTTTGCTACTTGTCAGGGACGCGGGGAAAGACAGCTTTTGTTTTTCCCAAACAGAAGGAAAATAAAAAAGGTAGAAAATATGTGGGGAAGGAAATTTTATTTCCAAGCTTCTAAAAGGATCTTACAAACCACAGAGAGTAAAAAAAAAATGCAAAACTATATATATATATTATATATATATATAATTGACAGGGTCCTTTTAAGCAATTCTTCACATTATCTAATGGTGATAGGAGATACCACGTAACCATATATGTGTTTTCCTGTAATCCTGATCACTGCCAACAGCTGACAAAACTCTTCTCAGACAACATTTCCCCTAGACTGTATAGATTCCTTTTCTTGAAAGCAAAGGAGAAGAAGGAAAGAAAACAAATTAATCAAGGAGGAAAAAAAAAAAAAGAAACTCTCTAAAGCGAGGTGTTCCAGGTTGGGCTGTGGGAGAGCCAGGGGTGACACCTCCTGCATGGCTGTGGGACCTCCTTCCCAGCCCTGGCACTCCATGCCTCTCCAGGGCACGGATTTTCCTCTAGCATGGATAATTCCCCACCATCCCAGCCATACCTCCTGTGTTCCCACCCTGCCCAGGGTCTCATGACTTCTCCAAATGAGCCCCAACCCTGCCCTGACCTCAGCACCGCTCCTTGCTCTCTCCTGCCCACCAATCCTGACCTCAACCTTTATTCTTTAGGACTTCTTTACACCTCTGCCCATCCAGGAGGAGTTCATCCTGGACTTCCATCCCCAGCAACAGCACAGCTTCAAGCTCAGCATCCCTCCTGCTATTCCAAGCATCCCAGCAGCAGGAATGCTGGCTACGCTGGGGATGAGGAGGGATTCACGCTCAGCTTTTCAGGATCTAGCACTCACATCAAGAAGCCACGGGCCCGTGGACAGAACCAACAGCTCCAAAACAGAGAGGACCTCAGGAAATAAATGCAAAGAAAGCTGAGAGAGAAACAGAGCCGGGGCAGCTCCGTGAGCTCCAGATTCTTCCTCACCCTGAAATGTCGTGGCAGCTTTTGGACATTGCCAAAAAGTAAACAAAACCCCAATGGTCCCTTGTTCCCCCATCCCACCCCCAACAGTTTCTTAAACACTTAATGTCCAGCTTAAGTGAAATCAACAGATTTTAAAATCCACACAGGTGTCAAAAGAGAGAGTTACAAAAATTCGCTTGTTCCTGTTGCTGCAGCAAAACCAACCCCAACCTGAGCCTCAGAGGCAGAGGACTAAAGGCAACATCTCCTGTAGGGCTGTGCCACCCCACTTCACAGGTCCAAGGGGCTCTTTGGGTCCCATTCCCAGCAGGGAACCCCCATTGGGGCCCAAACAACTCTTGCTGTCTCCAGGCATCCTGTCCTGGGGATGCTGCTGCCGGCAGCTGATGGAGGAGGATGGCTCAGCCCAGGGCACTCCTGCTCCTTCCTGCACAGCTCAAAAGCCAGGCAGGGGCTTAGCTACACGCTGCCTTCCTCCTCCTCCTCCTCCTTCTCCTCTGCTACACCCTACATGGGAAACAGGCAACCACACACACCCCAGCCAGCTGTGTGAAAGAACGTATATATTCAGCACGCACTCAGTACAGTTTAGCAACAGAAGCTACCATCGTTCCCTTAAAAAACCAACAGACCACCGAGCTTCAAAACAGTCACCAAGGCTTCCAAATCCTCCCCACCCTACAGCCCTGACCCTTGGCCTTCTGGCCCCAGCAAGGCACCAGGGGCAGGTGATCCCAGCCCCGCACTGTCCCTGCCCAGCAAGGGACAGAGGGTGGCCCCAGCTCTCCGGCAGCGCCCTGTTCCACAGCACCCAGCTCCTCCCGCGGGGCCTGGGCTGCTGGGGATGCTGAGGGTGCTCCCGCTGGAGGGCCCTGGCCAGCAGTTTGCTCCGGTGCTACCCCCTGCACTTATTTGGGGAGAGAGGGAACACACCAAAGAAAACGGGACAAGCTCCGGCTGCCGGCCAGAGGAGAGGAGATCCCATCCCAGGGAGCAGAGGGGATCCCATCGCTGATCCCGGGGGGGTCCACGCTTGGATCTCTGCGGCGGCGTCTCCGCTGCTTTCTGCTGGAGGGGAGGATGAGGCCGAGGAGGGGGAGAGGAGCGGCACAGTGGTGGGGACGGGGGTGGCAGGACCCTCGCTACTGCACGTGGAGGGGAGGTAGATCGGCTTCGGAGACCTCTTGCCAGGGAGGATGGATGTCTTCTGGCACAACAGCTCGGTTCCTGGGGGGAAGAGCCCTGAACACCCGCCTTATCCCAAGCGGAAGGTGTCTTGGAGCCTGGAAAGCTCTTGACCTTGGAGGGGGGCAACCTTCCTTGAAACCTTTTAGCCCTGAAAGTGCCTCCACGGGCAGCTGGGGACAAGCCCGGAGGTGACCTGCGGGGCAGGAGGGACCCCAGCTCCACCAACCCCGAGCCCGGCCCCTCTCCCTGCCCCGCCGCCCCTGCCCCGCGCCGGGGGGGTTGCGTGTGCCGCGCCGCCCGTCCTCCCCCCTCCCCAGGCCCCCGTCCCCAGCATCCCCCCTGCCGTTAGTCCTGCTGCTCGTTCATCTCCATGTCCGACACCAGGATGTTCTTCTCGGCGGCCTCGCCGGGGTTGGAGGTGGTGCGGCTGTAGCGGGCGCTCTCGAAGGCTCCGCGCTCGGCGCTGCGCCGGCGCCGGTACAGGAACACCACGACCCCCAGCACGGCACAGAGCGCCAGCGCCGACACCACCACCACCGCGATGGCCGTCGTGTTCTCCGGCAGGGCTGCGGGAGGAGAGGCCGGTCAGAGGCAGCCGGGTGGGCTCCCACAGCCTCAGGGAGAGGGGACGGGGCTGGTGGGGCTCCGGTCAGACCGCGGTTTTGAGCAGGATCATGGGATTGTGGGATATCCTGAGCTGGAAGGGACCCACAAGGATCATCCAGTCCAGTTCCTGGCCCTGCACCATTCCCCGTTGTCCAAACGCTCCCTGAGCTCTGGAGCCTTGGGGCTGTGACCACTGCCCTGGGGAGCCTGTTCACTGCTGTTCCCTCAAAGAACAGGAACCTGTGCTGACAGGAACCTGCTTTGTTGTTTTGGGGACATCCTGCCCCTGGCAGAGCTCCTGGGGTTGGGCAGACACTCTGGGTCATATGCAGGAACATCTGGCAGCTGCTTGGGATGGAAGCTTGGGATCCCACCAGCAGATGTGGTGTCCATCCCCCAGCTTGGCCAGGCACTGTGGGCACGGGCAGGAGAGCCTGGCCAGACACACACCTCCATGGAGGGACGGCTCCTGCTGCTGGGGAGTCCTAGTCCAGGGCCAAAGCCACTTGGGAATGGGATTTCCCACCCACAACCCCCATTCTTTGGTTATTTGCACAATCCAGGCTGCAGCACAGGTCTCCAGCACTGGTTCCCAGTCCCAGGGCTGTGCCCAGGCTGACAGTGCCACTCACCTGCCCTGGAAAAGCTGCTCTCCTCCACTGCAACAGCAACACAGACAGGTGAATGCACGGCCACGCCACCCTCCCCTCTTCTCAGTGCCAGCACCACCAGCTCCACCCTCTCCACTGCTCCCAGCACCACACCACGGACACTGGGTGATGCACAGCTGGGGGGGATCCTCTGCTCTGCTCCATCAACGTCCCACCAGCCTCATCCTGCCCTAAGAGGCCAACCCAGCTACTGAGACATGCACAGCCCACCACCGAGCCCAGAGGGGACCTAAAACCCTGACACTGGCCCCTGCACTGGAATTACCCAAAACACGTGGCTGGTGCTGCCAGCAGCACAGAGCTCTGGCCCCCAGCACTCTGCTCGGACCCTCAGCTCAGCCCACCACGGGCAGCAGAGGGGTCCTACCTCGGGGGATCTTGCAGATGACCCCCATGGTGACGTTGGTGCAGGAGCCCAGGCGCCACACGCCGTTGCTGCTCTGGATCCAGTAGCAGCTGTTCTGGCTGAGCATGCTGGGCCCCGTGTCGTGCTGGCCCCAGTTGGAGTAGTTCACAGCAGTGTTGTCATGCCAGACCAAGGTGCCACCTGGGAAACGGGACAGTTAGGCCTGGGGAGGCTGAAGGGGACACCCCATCTTTGCCCAACTTCAGAAAGGACAGGGAGGTGTGATGGGGCAATGGGATTTGGAGCAACCTGGTCTAGTGGAAGGTGTTTCTGCCAATGGCAGGGGGTTGGAACTGGATGATGTTTAAGGTTCCTTCCAACCTAAACCATCCTGTGATTCTGTGATTCTATGATGGGGAGGTGTGATGGGGTGATGGGGAGGACCAGGGGGCCACAGGGCTCATTCCTGCATCTGCAGGCCCCAGTGTCTTGGAGAAGGCTCTGGGCTTCCCATCCCACCAAGCCAGAGGAGGACATACATGGCATGTCCAGCATGGCCTGAAGAACTGGTGCTCCTGTCACACCACGGCATGAGCTCCCCTCACTGGTGCCACCAGCAAGGGCTTCCTCTGCTCACTGCAGACCCGGTGGGAATTCATGGGGGTGCCTGGGGGAATATCTCAAACCTCCCTCCTTCCTTTGTACCTTTGGGGTTGAAGGTCATGCCCAGCCAGGCCCCCTTGGAAGGGCCCTCGTACGACTGCAGATGTTCCCACACAAAGACGTTCTCCATCTCATCCTGGATGGACAACACCGTGCCACCGACTGTGGAGGGAACAGCAACATGGAAGAGCCCAGAACTCAAAGGATGGAGCTGGGGAGCAGCAGTGCCCGGGAGCACAAAGCTGAGGAACCACTCATGAACCACGTGATGGTTGGGCAACCCTCACATGGAACAGCAAGGAGGCAATGATTGACCAAAGCCAGGCATGGGCACAGGGACAGGGGAGCTCTGCTGCACCCACAGACACCCTGGGCATCTCACCCTCTACCACCTCAGCCCCTCATACCTTTCTGGCACCTCCTCATGGCGTCCTTCTGCCCCAGGGTGATCTCCATGTGGAAGGTGTAGCAGTGGTCCCGGAAGGGGATCCAGGATGAGTCCTCCAGCGATTTGGGACAGCTGCCACTGTAGCTCCACTTGTGCGTGCGGGGGGCACCTGGGGAGCACAGGGCACACTGAGGGGGGGAAGGGGCACAGGGCGCCGAGGTGCCACAGCACGTCGGGGCACTCAGACCCACAAGGACATGCAGAGAGCCCCATCCGGGTGGGATGCCATCTCCAACCATTGGTGGCACCCCACCTGACCGCCCTGTGCCCCCCTTGGCCAGCACCTGCTCGGAGCTGGCAGATGCCCCCCTGGAGCTTGGTGTCGCAGCCGGCCGTGCGCCAGCTCCCGTCCGCATCCATGTAGGAGCAGCCCGTGATCTGCTGGGGCTCCCCATCCTGCCAGTTGGTGTACACCACGTTCTCCTCCGTCAGCCACGAGTAGCTCCGGCCACCCTGGAGGAGAACCAAGGGGAGGAGATGCTGAGGGGGCTGCCATGACCCCCTTAGGGTCACCCTGCCCCAGGTGCCTGCCCCCTTCCCTCACCTCGTCGGCCAAGCCGATCCAGAGCGGGGCCCGCAGGCTGCTGACGGCCTGGGTGAGGAAGGCCTGGCTGTAGGGGTCGGGGATGGTGGCCAGGGTGGCATTGAGGGTCTCGCAGAGCAGCAGGGCCTCGTGCCACCTGAGGGGTTTCTGCAGGATGCGGTAAGTGCTGTTGTGGTAAAAGAGGGCGCCGGTGGGCGAGGGCGGGTACGGCGTCCGCGCGGGGCTCAGGGCCGGGTCTGGGGGAGCAAAGAGACACGGTCAGAGGGCACGGAGGGCACTCCTGCATCCCAGGAGGGGTCACCCCCTTGTCCATCCCTACCCAGGCCCGGCTGTCCCTGTAAGTGCTGCACTGGTGCAACCAGGGAGGGCAGAGGGATGTCCCCAGGGATGACGAGCAGTGATGCCCTGGCACCATCCCCACCTTGGAGCTGTCCACCAGGATTCACATCCCTATGGAACATGCTGAGCCAGGCTGGCATGTACAGGTTTGGGGCTGTCCCATAGATGGCTGTGAGGGGGGACCAGCCCCCAAGGCAAGCCTGTCTCCCTGAGCTCCTCCAGCACCAGGAGCTCCTCCCAAGCTGAGCTGATGGCTCTGAGCTCCCCGGCCCCACCACTCATGGGGCACCAGGGTGGCAGTGGCAGGTCCCCAGCCAGCAGAGCTGGGGCTGTCCCCTCGTGCCCCCCTACCTATGCTCCGCTGGCAGATGTAGCCGTGCTTCTCCTCCAGGCAGCTCCGGTCGTCCCAGCGTCCCGTGAAGAGAGGGGGTGAGCCGTGCCACACCACCACACAGTTGGTCTGCACAGCCAAGCCACAAGGTCAGCACTGCCCTTAGCACCGTCACTCCACCCTGCGGACACCCCCACACCAGGGGTGTCCCGTGGTGGGCAGGTCCCCACCCTGCAGGGCTGGATCCTGGTGTGCCCTTGGAGAGCCACCTCTGCTAAAACCTTCCCTTCCCATGGTGGCACACAGGACTGAGACCTTCCCAGGGGCTGGGGGTGCTGTGGGGGTCTCTCTCACCGGTTTGTCGCGGGGGCTGGAGGCGCTGCAGCCCGAGGGCTCCCCGGGGGCCCAGCTCACGTGCCGCAGGGGCTCCCCCTCCACCCACTGGAACTCCCTCTGCGCGTCGTGGAGGCCGATCCAGAGGTCGAAGGAGATGTTGGGCAGCATGGACGTGATGAAGGCTGCGAGGGACAGGGGAGGGGCTGAGAACCACCCCTGGCAGGTCCCCAGCCAGCAGGGCTGGTGGGGTTGGTGGGGGCAGCGGGGACCTACCCTGCTCCAGGGGGCTGGAGATGGTGGCCAGGACGGCGCCCTGGCTCTCACACGCCTGCTTTGCCTCCAGCCACTTCACTCTCTCGCCTTTGTTGTGGCCATTGAAGCTGAAACACTGTGCAGGCAGCGGCACAGGATGGTCCACGGGGGGGGCAGCTGCCCCTACCCCGAGCACTGCACCCTCCCCATCCAACCACCCTCTGCAGCCCCATTCTGCCCCGGTGGCCCTTCTCCCCTTTGCACTCTCACATCTACCAGCCCCCAGCCACTCCTGCACTCCCACCTCTCTCCTGGCATCCCTGTGCACGCACCTCACCACCCCCTCTTGCACCCCCACCCCACAGCACACCTCTCCCAGCATCCCTGTTAATGCACCCCCCAGCATTCCCTAAAAACGCGCAGGAATCCCTCTTCATCCTGCCATTCCACAGCCACCCACTCTCCACCTCCACAGGGCTGGTGGAAGATCAGGAGGTGACCATCACCTCTCCCTCCTGCCATCCCCTCCCCATGCTGCTGACTCCTGTCCCTCCTGCCATCCTCTCTCCCTCCTGTTCTTCATCCTGCCATCCCCTCTCCATCCTGCTGTCCCCTCTCCATCTGACCATTCCCTCTCCCATCCTACCATCCTGTCTCCCTCCTGCCATCCCCTTTCCCTCCTGCCATCCCTTCCTTCCAGCTCTCCCCTCTTTCTCCTGCCACCCCCTTCTCCACCCTGCCATCCCCTCTCCATCCTTCCATCCCCTCTCCCTCTGGCTGTACCTTGCTGAGGAATTGCACCCATCCTCGGGGGCAGCCCCCAGCTGTGGGAGTGGGTGCCGGAGGCAGCGAGGGCTTCACGGCCGTCGCGTTGCTCCGCTTGCAGATGTAGGGCAGTGCCGTCATGCACTTCTGGTCCCCCCAGTCCTCTGCGGGGAGGGACAGGCTGGGCATGACCCCAATCCTCACCGAGCCCCTCATGGCCCTGCCCTCACCTGCGCTGGCCCTGCCCTCACCTCTGCTGGCCGTCATGTACACACACTTCCTGTCCTTGCCGATGGGCCGGGGCTTGCCCGGTGCCCAGGAGATGAAGTTGAGGAGAGACCCGTCAGACCACCTGGAAAAGCATGGGTGGGAGGACAAAAAAAAGAGCTGAGTGGTGACTTGGCAAATGGGACCAGTTGCGTGCCCTAACTGGGGAGCGTGTCCCACCACTGCCCTCCTGGGTGAGGATCTCCATGCCAGCACCCCAGGATGGCAAGTGCTGAGCCACAGTGCTCACAGCTGGGGATGGGGTTGGGGGGATGAGCAGGGACGTGGTGGTGTGGTGGTGTGGAGATGAGCAGGGACACGGTGGTGTGGGAATGTGCTGGGGATGGTGGTGTGGGGACATGCAGGGACACAGTGGCTCTGTCTGTGGCTTACTTGAACCTCCCGTCGTTCTCGTAGGTGTTCAGCCCGATCCACCAGTGCTGCTCCTGGCCCCTGGAGAACTGCACACCCAAAGAGGACATGTCAGTGCCTTGCAGGGACTGGGCGTATTTGGGGACAACAGAGACTGTCACAGGGATCAGCTCTCCCCCTCCCCACCCTCAGCTTGCACCAGGACACAAAACATCACCTCACTGAGCCCCAAACCCACTCACAGGCACTGCACAAGCCCACTGTGACCCCAGCAGAGCCCAGCGCCCCCACACAACATCCCTCCAGCAAAGGGGGAAAGAAGACAGGGAAGAGCAGCCCGGGGGGTCCCCGTCCCCCTGGTACCTTCTTCAGGTTCTGGCCCAGGAAGCGCAGCTCGGCCTCGCCGTGCACCGACGCCAGCTCGGCCTGGAACCAGCTGCAGATGCGCTGGGCCTGCAGCCACGTCGAGTGGTGCTCGAAGAACTTGTACTCGGCCTCCTGGTACTTCACCCACTCTTTGCTGCCTGCAGGCAGGGACCAGTGTCACACTGAGGCCGTGGCACTGTGACACCCCTGCCACGGTCACCTTGTCCCTCGGTCCCCGCGTGTTTTGAGCCTCTCCTTTAGTGGACAGGCCTGATTCTGCCCAGTGCCTGCCGCAGTCCCTACAGCCATGTGGTGCAGCAGGGGGATGCCTGGGCTCCCCACCCTCCCACTACCCTGCCCAGGATCCATCCCTCTCTGGATAACACTGCCTGGATGCTCTGCAGGGATGGTGCTTGTGATGGGGCAGCAGAGGCCCAGGGAGGACAGTTTATGCCCGACAGACACACGGCTGTGGTCAACACACCTTGGGTTGTGATCTCCGGCTCCTTCACGTCAGCACCTGGAGAAAGGGCAGGGAGAGGCTGTCAGCGGGATGCAGGGCTGGGATGCTCCCACTGATGCTTCCCTGCAAACCGCCTGTGGGCTCCAAGGGTGGGATGCCCTCCTGAATCCCCCCATGAGGAACAGCACCTCTCTCTGACCCAGAATCGGGAATCATCCTCCCACCTCCCGAGGATTCCCCTGCACCTGCTCCACGGCCCCACAGCCCATCCTCCTCCAGGTTAGTCACAGATGGGGGGCTTGGGGCCCCTTTGCTGGTACCTTTGGGCAGTTTGCAGATCCAGTCCAGCTGGGCTTCGCACTGCATCGGCATCCACTGCAGGGAGGCCAGGTCCAGCACCGCGCACGGCCGGATGTCGTCGTCGTCGTAGTTGCTGCGGTCAAAGTTGTGGTAGAAGAACTGGGGGTCGAGAGAGATGGGTGGTGTTGGGCATTTCCACCAGCACCGGATTTGCCCCCCCCCCCCCCCACCCCAAATGCCCCAAGACTCACCCCCAGCCCATCACTCCACCTCCAGCTCCGGTCCCCCGCAGGGTCCCGTCGGTTCAGGCCAATCCAGAACCAGTGCTGCTCGTGGAGCTCCGGCTCTGACTCCCTGGGGGAAGCCAGGGGAATGGGTGAGAACACGACCCCCATCCAAACCAGAAGGGTTTACATTTATACACAAATATCTATTATTAATTTACATATATATACACATAATTATATATATTTATACACAAATATATAGTATACAATTGTTATTTTATATATTTGTTTATAAAAATATTATATATTATTTATATATACACAGATATATATTACATTTATACACAAATATACATTAATAATCTGGCCTTTTTCTGTTTGTTTTCAAAGCCTGCCATCCCCACACACTGGAAGGCAGGAGTTGGGATAACAGGCTCAAGGCTGGAGGCGTTTGAAACCCAAGCTCCATCCCCTAATTACACTGAACTTCCTGCACTTCTCCCACGTCCCCTCTTTCCTGCACATCTCCCACATCAGCCACACCTACTGGTGCACCTTCTGCACACCAGTTTGTGCTCAGAGAGCCCCATCCATGCCCCAACCCCCCATCCACATGTGCCAGAGCGCTGTGAGGGCTGTGGGATCATGCCAAGCACCCTCTGGCAGCAGGACACGTGCTGGTGCCACCGGTCTCTCACCCAAAAATCTTGTTGAGGGTGTTGGCGACAAAGTGCTCCTCCTCGTAGCTGCCCAGGCTGAGCAGCTGGGCCCCCAGCTCCCGGCAGAACTCCTGCGCCGCGATCCACGTCTTCTTCTCGTGCAGCTTTTCGAAGGCGAACACCTGGGGGAGGAGGAACCCACAGTGTGGGGAGCTCAGAAGCAGGAGAGGAGCAGAGCATCATCCCCACACCATGGGGCACGCTGCCCCAGTCAGGCTTGTGTGGTCTGGGCTGCCTCTTGCACCAGAACATGTTCCTTCACCCCCTGCACCACAGGAGGCACAGGCACCCCCCCAACAGCCACGGGAACGCCCCTCACCTTGTAGCAGTGCCGGAGTTTGGGGTCGGAGCTCCAGCCCGGGGGGCAGGTGGCGGTGAGGCTGGGCGTGGGGTAGGGCCCGGGCAGCTCGGGGTTCACCGGGGTGCCCAGGTTCTGCCGGCAGATGTACTTGGCCTTGAAAGTGCTGCAGTTCTTCACCTCCCACAGCCCCATGGAGCTGCCGGTGGCCAGGGCCACGCAGCCGCCCTTGTTGTAACCTGGAGCACTCACGGGAGGGGGGGACGCAGCCTTAGGGTCAGGCTGTGCCGGGGGGCAGAGCCAGCATCCACCCTGTTGGAGGGGGTGTCCCCGGGCCACCCCTGCCCCCCTTACCGGGCTGGTCGCGGTTCCAGTGCGTGTACATCACCTCGTCCCCGCTCAGCCAGCGGAACGCGCCCGTCTCGTTGATGTCCTGCAGGGCTGTCCAGAAATACTCCCCGTCCCAGCCGTAGATGAGGCTGCTCACATAGGCCTGCTCGAACCTGGGGGGTGGCCAGAGGGGGTGATGCTGTGAGCTGACACGGCCTGTGATGTCCCAGCCCTTGTGGGGTCACTCCCCACCTCAGGGGGCTCAAACCCAGCGCCGGTGTGGCACTGACCTGTTGGTGATGGTGACCAGTGTGGAGCCATAGTCAGAGCACATCTTGCGGGCGTCGCTGTAGGGGACACGGTCCTCGCCCAGCCAGAAGCAGGAGGGGCTGTGCCACTTCCAGCCCTGGGGATGGGTGACAGGGGACGTCCAGCACCGCCCGCCCAGACCTCCCCAAAGGATGGGAGCTGTCCCGGGGCGCGGGAGCAACATCCCACGTCCCCTGACACCACCTCTGCCTTCTCCCGGGAGGTCTCCTGCCCCCGGCCGCCCCAGCTTGACCCCGCTCAGCTTTGAGCTCCAACAAGCCCCTGGCCCCAGGGGACGGGGCTGCAGGGAAAACAAACACCCAGGCAGCTTCAAAGCCAGGGAAAAGGCTCTCCCTGCCAGGGTCCGGCCCCGGCCGGGGTGCGGGGAGGGGAACACAATCCTCCTCTTCACGCCGCGGGGCCGAGTCCAGAGCGAGTCCCACCACAGCCGGCTTTAATCCCCCGCCTTGTTGATGTTGGAGCCTCTCCGGGGCTGGAGACACAATAGTGCCTGTTTTCTGCCAGAGCAGGGAGCGGGGCGGCCCCGGGGCTGGCAGTGGCCCCTCGGCAAAGCGGGGAGGGACACGGGGGCTCATCCATGAGAGGGAACACACACCCTTCCCAAGGGTGGAGCAGCTGGGGCAGCAAGTGGCCTCAGGCTCAAGGACACCCTGGAAGGGGAAGTATCACTGGGATTCCACTCGTGGGTCCCCTGGGCACTGGAAGGACAGTGGGGGACACGTGCCATACGTAGTGTCATCGGCATGGCGAGGAGGGAAGCAGGAGTAGCTTTAGGAGATGAAAACAACCCCAAATCCCATTTTTGCCCCACAAGTTCCTGCTCCTACGGTCTTTCCCCAAAGTTGGCAAAGCCAGATACAGACCCACCAGCTGGGTCCCTCTGGAACAACATGGATGCCCCTGAGCAGCCAAGAAAGGGCCCATCCAGGCACAGTGTGGGTTCCTGATGCCCCCAGAAGGATCTGGATGCCCCCAGAGGGGTCCCCAACCAGCCCCGTGCCTCAGCACCCCAAAAACCCCATGGATGCTCTCCCACACACTGGCCACCACAGGAAGACCCTGTGATCCAAAAGAGGGCCAGGATGGGATCCTCAACTCCCCAGTGCTGCCTCCAGCTCCTAATCCTGGTGTGTCCCCACATCCCTCTCCAGCTCTGCCATTCCCACTGCCCAGACCACCAGCCCTCACTGCTTCCTTTAAGGCTGTTCCAAAACTAAAGGAGGTTTGGAGAAGGGGAAAAAAAGCAGCAAAGCCATCATGAAAAACCAGCATGGTGGCTGGAGAGGACTGGGGCCAAATCCCCTGAGCAAGATGATGATCTGGGTGGCAAAAGGCGTCACTGAGGATGAGGAAGGGGAAGAAGGATGGGAAAAGGTCTTTCCCCCAGTTGATTTACCACTCCCAGTTTGTTTCTTAGTGGGTGCATCTCTGCTGGGCACCCAGGCCAGGGTAAAACTGTGGCTGGGGAGGCAGGAGGAGTTAAATCTCCATGGGGACATCTTATGTGTCAGGACATCCCATGAGCTCAGGACTGTTCTGGGGACATGCAAATGAGTGGTGATGGAATTTTGCCCACCAAGTGCCTCATCCCCAGCACCTGCTGACACTGGGGCTCCCCTGGCTACAGCTGGCAGCCCCCATATCTGGCCTGGTGTGGCAGCTCACTGTGCTGCCCTGAGCTCTGGCAGAGCCAAGTGGCTGCTGGGATTTGGCAACGGGATGAGGACCCGGGAGGAGCCCAGCAGCACCTCTGGGAGCTGGCCCAGCGTGGCTGCTTGGTAGTCTGAGCGTGAGGGCTTGCTCTGAAACATTGGGAGAGGTTCAAGAGTGGCAGCACTGCCAGGCTCAGCAACTGGAGACTTCTCAGAGCCACAAAAGCCACTTCCCAGCAAAGCGTGGGAACTGGGCGGCCTCAGCCCCCTGTGGCAGCTGGGGAAACTGAGGCAGAGCATGGGCTGGGTGAGAATCTGCCAGTTTGGTGTCCCCAGAAGGCCTGTGCCCTGCCCAGGGAGGGCAGCCTGCCAGCACACCCAGGCACGGGGCCGGCGGCCGCCTCTGTCCCGCCAGGCTCCCACGTGCGGCAGCTTTGCTGCCGTGTTTTGGCACAGAGAGAGGCAAAGGGAAAAAAATGAACATCCCTGCTGGCAGCCAAAGGCAGCCCGAGGAGGAGGCTCTTGGATGATGTTCACAGACACATGTGCGTCGTGTCCCAGTTTCTTCCCGTGACCTCCCGGAGCCACGGAGGCAGAGAAGGGCTCGGCAGCCCCGGGGTCTCTGCTGCACCAGCAGCTCCCGGGCACAGACCCCACAGCTCCCAGTGCTGCCCATCAGGGCTCCCCAGAATGGTTTTAGGGAGAGCCCTGGAGAGATGCAGCCACCTCCAGCCCCAGGGGCCCCTCACCTTTCGGCACCCATGGTCATCCTCCTCCTTCTCCTGGCTCACCCGACCCGGCTTTTTGCAGATGGACGGCAGGGTCTGGTTGCAGGGGCTGTCGTTCCACCTCCCTTCCTGCATGGTGGGAGAGGAACAGGAATCAGCCTATCCCAACAGCCTGGGGAATTCCCCAGCCCACCCAACCCCACCTTGGGTCCACAGGCTTTCACTCCCTACACCAAATCCCTAAGGATGATGTGCTGGATCCCTCCCATCCCAACAGCTGGGATGAGCCAGGTTCAACCCAGCTGGAGGTGCTCCCTGAGGAATGTCTTCCTCAGGCATGAGGATAGTGCAGTGCTCCCTTTCCCCCTTGGGACCCTCCTATTTCCCC